TTCATATTTATTATCATTATAATTTAAATTAAATAATATTATTATTTAGTATAAAAATAAATAAAGAATATAATTAAATTTATATTGATTCTTCATTATTGTATATCCATAATTTGATTATCTTCAGACAGAGACTTGATTACTTTAGCTTCTTTAAGACATTTTATTTCATTATAAAGTTCTTTTCTAACCCATGAGAATAACAAAATAATGTGATACGTAAAAGTTAATTAAAAAATACGCTCAATGACGAAGGAAATGTTAGGTTGAAACCAAAACTTACTTCCAAGTACTAGCCGCATACTCTATTAGTTATAATATCAAACTTATTAAATCTGTATCTCTGGAATTGACCCAACCAAATCCCACTCTAGTACAACAATTTGTTTAATATACAAAGAATGGTCGTAACCTAACTTTGGTAATCGAGACGTACCATACTTACAAAAAAAGTCAGTGGAAAACTCTCCTTTTCCGTCCATCCCTATTTTGAATCCATGACCCAACTCAATAAAATAATTGGTATTTCCGTCTAAAAACGATAAAGGATTAGAGTCATAAACATAGTTGATGTACTTATTCTCATCCTTTTTCCATTGTTGGATAATAACTTTTCTAATAGGCACATTCTTCTGTCTGTCTATAAGTCTTTCTTCTCTAGGATTTTGGAGAGATGTTAAAAATAATTGGTTGTTATGAGTTAGTACAACGACAGTAATATTATCTTTTTGTTTCCATTGCTCTACTTGGGGTTGTGGAATGGAATCTCCTTTATAAATAACTTTAGCGTGATTATACCCATTCCATGTTTCTATTTGGTCAAGATTTTGAATAATAAATTCATTAATCTTATTATCTTGGTTTATTTCTTCAATTTCTCTTAAGTATTGTTGGTCAATTAAATTTATGGATGAATTAAGTTGAACTTCTATGTTAATAATTTTTTCATAAAGAGATGCAAACATAAAACTCATTGCATTTTTTATTTCAGTTGTACCAATTTTGTCAATTAATTGTATTATTTTATTATAAACTTCTGACTTTGACATAATAAGCTTTTGTAATATTTTGTTCTTAAGATTTGATTTAATAAAAAAAAAACTAATCAATTATAATAGAATTTAATTAAACAGTAAATATCATATTATAGTATTTTTTTATTTTTTATTTTAAGATTATAAAATGATATTGAATTTCATTACTGTAAATAATTTTTATTAAATGTAATATTCATCATATTTTAAAAAATAATGTCTGATTCGTTCATTTATTTCATTTTTACTTTGAATATTTTATTTTCATTTCTTTACATATATTCAGTTAATTTAATGTACACACACTCTTTGTTTTTGTTTGTTCTGAATTTAATCAAATCTTCAGTATTAATATTACTTTATTATTTACTCTAATTCATTTATACTTTTTAAAATGGTTTAATGATATTAACTATATAAATGATCAAATGTTGTTGTATATCCCTCATATTATTTATTATAAATTTATATTACTTTTAATTTCAAACTACACTATTATTGTACGATTGTTAGATCTACTTATTAGTTATGATATTTTAAACATTCTTTAATTGATAATTAAATTGTTTATAAATTTATGTTTCATTTTCTTTTTAATATATGAGTTTGGAATAGTCTATCACCTATTCTTGTTTTATAAAATAACTTATCTTTCATTAATTATGATTTTTTATTATCACCTTCAATTAAAATATCAATTAAAATTTCAATTAATACTAATATGTATAGATAAACTTCATGTTCATAATTATATGTATGATGAAGCTATGACTCATTATTCATATTTCATTTATGCATTTAAGAATAAATAAAATCAAATAAGTCTAGTCTAATTTTAGAATAAATAACAAAAATACTAATAACAAAAAAATCTATAAAAATGAAAAAATAACATAATAACTAATAAAAATCGTTTAGTCTGTATAAACTTTGATTATTGAAATATTACTTGTATAATAAAATTTTAATAAAAAAATAATAAAAATTACAACAAAACATGAAACTATAATTATTTTATATCATTTATTTTATTATAAATTATTCTTGACTTTTCTAACAGATTATTAAATAACATAATACTCTAATAAATCTTGAGTAAATAAATGAATGTCATCACAACTCTTTCCACACACAACTAAAACATCGCTTAATGAATCATAATGCATTGACGTTACTTCACCAACTTGAACGTCAAATGTTTGTTTATAATTAAAACTAAAATCAAATTTTTGTATTCTAACTTTTCCTTCAGAAACATATATTTCTTGTCTTCTATGATCAACAGCAAGAAGATTAGGATGGTCAAACCTTCCTCTTCTCTCTTCTCCAATACTTCCCTTTACTTGAATAATATATCCTTGATTATTTGTTATTACAATTCTATTATTTCCTGTATCAGCAATAACAAACATAACTTGATTTCCTATTGTAATAGCCTTAATGTCTGTTGGTTGATTAAAGTCAACTCCTATTGCTTTTATAAATGTTCCGTCATGAGCAAATATTGCAATTCTATCATTTTCTGTATCAGTAACATATAACAATTGTTCTTTCTGTACATAAACACATGAACTTGGTGCTTTTAATGAACTTTTACCTTCTTTTTGATATGACCTCACATACCTTCCTTTTATAAATAATTGAACTCTATTATTCCCTTTGTCCACTACCCAAACCCACTCTTCTTTACCAATAACCCCAACTGCAATTCCAACAGGATTTTTAAATTGTCCTCTTCCATTTCCTCGTCCACCAAATATCATAAATTCATTTCCAATAATTTTAACACAATCATTCCCACTATCTACTACTGCATATCCACCATTAATACTACAAAGATATGTAATATAAACTTTATTTTTATCACTTGTGGCATTTGATGAAATGACTTGTAACGGTGGTGCAATACGAACACGAATAGGTGAATTATCTATTTCTATTCCTTTACAACTTATTTTTATTAAAACGTCTCCTTCTTGTTCTCCATGTAAAACTATTTCATCTTCATTTACACTAATAGTAAGAATTCCCCCTTCAGTTGGAGACTCTTCTATTTGAAGAGTTGTTAATGAGTATTTTAAATGACCTGTAGAAGGTGGGTGTGGGATAGGTTTTGTAGGATATATTTGAATTTGAAGATGATGTAATGAATTTATGCATAATTCTTTTAATAAAATTGTTTTTGTTGTGTTAATAGGTAATATAATGATCGCAGTATTTTCAATTTTTTGTGAAAAGGAACTGTGTGCATTAATTTTTAGTGAATAGTTAATACTCTCCAAAGATGAAATAATTTCATTTGAATCATCAACACCTGATAATGAATTAATTTTTGTTAAACAATTTGAAAGTTTTCTTAAGTTTTGATATAACTTCGGTAATGTTGGACCTTTCATGTAATGGGCATAAAATAATGACAATGGTGTTATATTATGTTTCCGATGAATATCTCTTTGACAAACTGAACAAATAACACATTGGCATGTATAACAATACATTTCTGCAGATTTCATATGAACCAAACAAAATTTTCCAGGTTTAAAGACTTCTACTGAATGTTTTCGTTTAACGTGTAAAGAAGAATGGTCAACACAAAAATTTACTTGACAATTAAAGCAATATCCTAATGCTTTATTTTCACATCCTTTTTCATCAGTACATTGTGCAAATTCAAAAACCTTTTTAATTCGTTTGTAAGGAGTTGGTAGTATTTCTGGCGCTCCAAAAGGTAATTGAATAAACTTATGACACTGAGGACAATATAATTCAGATTCTTCTTCAGAATATTCGTTATGTGATTTTTGGGATTGTATTAATGACATTATACAATCTCTACATATTACATGAGTACAAGGTAATACTTTTGGAATATTTGGAATAGAAAAGTGTCCATCACAAAACCCACAACGACAGACATCTATTCTGGAACGAGAACACATCTGAGTAATTATTCTTGACTCTTTTTTTAGTTTCTTTTTTCGGTTTTTCCTTTTTTTTATAATACAACTTCTTCATGTTCTATAATGAAAAGACACTTCGTACATCTTTACAGATGAAAAGACAATTGCACATAAAAGTTTGAATACTATGAATTTAACAAAATGGAAAAAACTGAAAATAATTCATTGCAAGCAATTAAACAAAGTTTGTTACTTAATTGTTTATGTACTTTTGAGATAATTTAATACACAGAAAGAAAGAGAAAAATATTACACAGAAACATTATTAAAAATGAATTACAAAATTTGAGAGAAATGCTAGATATGTATCAAAACAAAATTACGTCTTCTTCATTAAAAGAGAAAACACAAGAAAAAGTAACTCCTAAAGAAGATGTATATTCCTATAATGATATGTACACATTATTGAAAGAAATTCAATACCAAAACCGTGAACTTATTGTATCTCAGTCAGTACTTGCCCAATACAATAAAGAAGTTTGGTATGCAGAGTTAAAAATTCTTAGAACAAAAAATGATTAAAGAATTAAATAATAAAAAAAAGGAAAAATTTTAAAATTTTATAAATTTATCTAAAAAAAGGAAAAACATTAGAACAAAATAATCTAAAAAAATTAATGGGTGAAAACAGAGAAATTAATCATATTACAAGAGGTGTTTCTATTCATATAGTTGAATCAGTTGATATCTCTGATGAAGCAAAATATAATCAAAAAAGACCTCGAACAAGAGGAAATTCATTTTATGGAAGAGAGAGACCTGTTTTCAATGGAAATAAACAATGCCTTCATGTCAACAGTTGTATCTTACCAAACAAGAGTTGGTCAATATTTATTCCAAAAGGTACAACTGGTAAGCAAATTTCAGGTGAACCTTATAATTTTGTTTGTTTAAGAAATTTAAAAAAAAATTTGACGTATTAATAGTGTTAGGAATATACATTCTCTAAATCACATGATATAGGTGTTTCTCTCACTATTGGTAAGAGAAATTATATGGAAGATGAAGTGCTTGTTGCAGGAAATGTAAAAGAAGGAATAGATCTAGTTGGTATTTTCGATGGACACAATGGTTCTGATGCAGCAAAATTAGCTGCGAAATTATTTAAAGAAGAAATAAAACATTTAGAAGAAGAATTCGACTGGATAACCCTTTTTGAACAAGTTCATTCAACCATTATTAAATCAACAGAGTCAGGAACTACTGCAACACTAGCCTTAATTTATAGTAATAAAATTACAGTAGTCCATTGTGGTGATTCAACAGCTTTTGCTTTAAAAAAAAGAAAACTCAAAAAATTAACACATGACCAAAATACTTCTTGTTTAGAAGAAGTTTCATCCATTAAAAAAAATGGTGGTGTTGTTGAATTTAATGGTGGCATTCTTCGAGTAAATGGACAGATTTCAGTTACTAGATCATTAGGCGATAAAAAATTCCATCCACCATTAACATGTATTCCTGAAGTAATTGAACTAGAAAGTGATGATATCACCTCCTTAGTCTTAACATCTGATGGAATATCATCAGTACTTCAGTTTGTTTTCCTTCATCTAAACTTTTTAAGAAATATACTCATCTACTAGACTTGATGAAATAGAAGCAGTAATGAATTCTGAAATGAATGTTGAAGAAAAATCATCTACTTTAAGAAATCAATCCTTCATAAGAGAAGGAAAAGATAATATGAGTGTCATAGTAGTCTCTTTTAATTGAAAATGTATTTTTATAACAAATTTAAGTTAAAATAAAAAAGAAAAAATAATATTATTAGAAAAGAATATCTTTATTTGAATTATTCTTTCTTTTCTTCAGCAGCTGGGGCTTCAGCCTCTTCTTTCTTTTCTTCTTTAACTTCTTCTTCCTTCTTTTCTTCAGCAGCTGGGGCAGCAAATTGTTTAGTAATTTCTTCAATTTGAGCTTGGGCGGCTTTGTTGAATTGTTCTTCAGTCATTTCTTCTACTTTATTAGCACCAGTAACAAAGAAGACTCCACCTTCACTAGTGCACATAATCTTTGGGTTTTTCCAGTTAGTAATTTTATATTGTCCATCTTTCTTTTGAATCATTTCACATTCATCGATTCCTCCAATATGTTGGCCTTTCAATGTTTTAATAGCAGCTTCGAGTTTCTTAGTTTCAGCAGCGGCTCCTTTGTGTTCAACTTTTCCTTTCATTCTTGGGGCTGATTTACCAACGTGAGTATTAGCTGTAACAGTAACAGTTTTACCATTGACAGTAATCTTTTTAGAAGCACCTGAAGTTGGTGCATAGGCAGTATTTAAAACTGTTTGTCTGCTTGTCTTATTAGTCTTTGGCATTGATAAACCAATTTAATAGTTTGGTAGGTTTTGTTTTATTTAATTTTAATTTTTTTTACTATTATTTATCATTCATTTATTTTGGGTTTCAATTATAGTTAGTTTGTAATATTTATTAATAATATTATAGCTTTATTATATCCTTGTTCAAGCATTAATAAAAGGCAAGAATGATAACTTATGACAATAGTCAATAACTCAAGCAAAACCAGTGACTGAATAACAAAAACAATAATCCACTTGTACTTATAAACAAGATTCGTATATAAACAAAGTGTTATAACAATTATATTATTTATGTTATAAGAAAAATAAAAAATTAAAACTAATATCAAAAAAATAAATAGGGTTTTGTGGAACAAAAAATGGATTGAAAAGATTGTGTTGAATGAAAAGAACATCACAAGATAATAAGGTGAAAAAATCAGATATAACCCAAGATGTTGTTGAAGATATCAAAAAAGTTGAAACAATTGAAGAAGTAAAGGAAAGCCTTCCAACAGAGAATATTAAAAATAATGAAGAAAAAGAAGAGCATAAGTCAGAAGAAAAAGTAAAAGAAGAACATCAACCAGAAGAAAAAGTAAAAGAAGAACCTGCTGAAGAACTTTTTCCATCTGATGATGAAGACATTAAAGACGAGTTTAGTGAAGAAGAAACTCCATTCGAACAAAATGCAAAGAAAACCAATTTAAAGGAAGCAAAAATTAAAGCAGAAGCTGCTGAAGAAATGCAAACAAATATCGCTGCTGAACAAAGACATACACTTCCAAGTGGACAAGAAATTATTCATGCACAAGAGATAGGGGATGTAGCTACTATTGGAACTCGAATTAGAGAAATTGTTGCTGTTTTATGTGATTTTAAAGCCCGACATGAGGAAGGAAGAAGTCGTCAAGAATATATCTCATTATTAATTCAAGATATGCAAACATATTATTCATGTAATGAATTTTTAGCAACATTGGTCGTAGACTTATTTGGGCCAAAAGGAGCTGTTGACTTCATGGAAGCAAATGAAGCACCAAGACCAGTTACAATTCGTGTAAATACATTAAAATCAAGAAGGAGAGAACTTGCTCAAAAATTAATTAATAGAGGTGTTAATGTTGATATGGTTGAATGGAGTAAATCCGGGTTAGTTGTTTATGACTCTCAAGTCCCTATTGGTGCTACTCCAGAGTATTTGGCTGGTCAATATATTTTACAAAGTTCATCATCTTGGGTTTCTGTTATTGCTTTAGCACCACAACCAAATGAAAAAATTTTGGATATGTGTGCTGCTCCAGGAGGTAAAACAACTCATATTGCTGCATTAATGAAAGACACTGGTGTTCTTGTTGCAAATGATATTAGTAAAGATCGTCTTAAAGCAGTTATTGGTAATGTTCATCGTTTAGGAATTACAAATACTATAATTACAAATTATGATGGACATGAGTTCCCTAAGGTGATGGGTCAGTTTGACCGTGTTTTAGTTGATGCTCCTTGTACGGGTTTGGGTATTATTTCACGTGATGCGGCTGTTAAGTTAAGCAAGAGTGAACAGGATATTAAGGATTGCACAAGAATACAAAAAGAGTTGATTTTACATGCCATTGATTCAGTAAATCCAAAAAGCAAGACTGGTGGGTATGTAGTTTATTCTACTTGTTCTATTACTGTAGAAGAGAACGAAGCAGTAATTGATTACGCTTTAAAGAAAAGAAATGTTAAAGTTGTGCCTATTGCTTTACAAGATGGTGTTGGAGAAGATGGATATGTTAACCATAGACAATATCGTTTCCATCCATCAGTAAAAATGGCAAAAAGATTCTTCCCACACGTCCAAAATATGGATGGTTTCTTCGTATGCAAATTAAAAGTGAATGTTACTCATTAAAGTTTGATTGATTTCGATTTTTATTTGTTTTTTTCTTTTTTTAATAAAATTAAATAATTAAGTTAAAAGAAGAAAATAAATTATTAATTCAAATACTTCTGTAAAGAATCAGCTCCTAAGTGTTTCTGAACTATTTGAGCAAATTCTTTTGCTGCTTCAACAACTTCTTGATTAGTGTCTTCCATAAGATCTGTGAGATATGGAAGAGTTTCTGGGAGTAAGTAAACAATGTCAGCAGCAATAGTATCCCACAAATGAATCATACAATGTAGTGCTGCTAAACGGACAATTGAATCAGTGTGTTGAGTTTGAATTAATAATTGATGGTTCAAAGGTTTCCAACAAACCTGGTTAGGTACACATAATGCAAATTGACATAAACAAGGAGACAACCTTTTAGTAATAAAATCAAAGTAATCATCTTCTTCTTTATAACAGTTATGCATTAGATCAATCAAATTAACTGTTGGTAACAATTGTTCAACTTTTTGAGAATCAACAAAGTTAGAATTATCATTTTGGAATAATGTTTGTAATAATTCAATATTTAAATAAATAGAGTCTAATAGTACAATAGCATTATCTCCTTTTTTGATATTATTTGCTGAACGTTTACCTAATGTTGATCTTTCTGGAACAAGGGCATTTGCAAGACTTAAAGGCAATTGATTTAAAATACTTAATATACTTTTAAGAACAAAAGCATAGTATGGAACAAATAAGGATTTTAATGTTTTTGAGAATGATAAGATAATCTTTGTATATATGTAAATTGAAGGTATTTCACTTATTCCAACTACTTCATTAAATCCTTCTGCACATTTCAAGAAGAATGGTTTAAATGTATCATCTGATAATTTTAATACCAATGAATTAAATACTCCAATTAATTCATCATTACAATGTTTCATATTTAATGGACTAGAAATCTTTGGTATTGTTTTTAATGCTTCAAATAAGAATTGATATAATTTAATTCTCATTTGAGAAATAGACGTTTGGTTTTCATTTAAGCTCTTTGATAATAATCCAAACAAAGCTGCAAGAGAAGTATCATTTTGTAATTTCTTGTTCTTAAAATTAGAAGATACCAATGACATAACTAATCTAAATTCTATTGAAGAACCAACAACACCCATAAATTCCATAATAAATGGATAAACAACTGGATTTGAAGTATATTCTGAGTCTAATATTAATGGAATAAAAGAATTAATATATGGATGTACAATATTTCCATATGATTTAGTAAAACTCATCATACAAGATATTACTGAGTTAATTAAACTATTCACACTATCTTCATCTCCACCATGTGGCAATAAGTCAAAGAACATTGGAATTAATTGTGGTAATTGTGGCATCAATGATGTTTTTAATTCGGCAGCATATATACTAAGACATAATAAAGCAGAAGCAACAATCTTAATATTTTTGAGAGTGTCTTTAATTTGAATACATTTTAATACATAATTTAATAGGTCCATAAATATAGAAGTATGTTGTGCTCCATAAAATCTTAATAAGATTTCTAATAATAAAACTCCTGTTTGAATAGTTGCTTGTTCTGCATCATTGTCTACACTACTTGGATTTAATTTATCTACATTTTCAAGAATTTTAATAACTACATGAATAAGTCCATTTTCAGCATTTAAGAAACTTGCTTCATACATACTCATTTCTTCTGGTGTTAATGCAGTTAATTTTTGATTTAAAATAAGTAAAGCAGTTCTTTTAACACGAATACTTGATTGTTTTAATAAGAAAACAACAGCTCGAATGAGTGTAGTTATACTAAACAAATCAGAAATATTATCTACCATATCATGTAATTTATCTGCAACAATAGTATTAGAATCATTTTCATCAGTACAATCAAATTTATTTAACATTTCAATAACTTGTTTGAAAAGAATAGTATAATTTTGTTGAATATTAACATCTTCAGTAGTTTTCATACACTTAGCAATAAATTCTCTTTTAGTAATTTGTCCATTGACAAAATCAATACATAAATGTGCTACTTCGTTTTTCTTTGTTATTTTTAATTGATATCCAGCAAATATACCTTCCCTATTTTCTTGTAATAATTGACAAGCATCTTCAATAATACAAGCAAGTAATTTAATTACTTTGTCATTATTTAATTCTCTAAAAACATCATAAATAAATGGTAAAACGTTATCTGCTTCATTTTCTATCAATAAGACTATCACTCCAGAAAGATGTTCTTCTGATAATTTACTTTCTTTAAATAATTGTAAAAAGATTTCCCTTCTTCTATGATATGGTAATTGATTATAATTATCAACAATCATTGATAATAATTCAACGATTGATGTAGCTGGAAGTCCTTGTGCTGAGCTAATAGAAGATATTACATGTGGAATTAATTTTTGCACAACAATTCCAACAATTTCTTCTTTAGATAAAGCTCTGACAAACCTATCTGAATGTTCAACAAATAATGTTGGGAATAATGCAATCATTTGTGATAATAGTGTAATAGCTCCATTATAAATTGCTGGAGTCATTCCAAATGTTTCAATAACTTCATAAATAACATCTATAACAGTTAAAACTTGAATACTTGATGCGAGATCTTCAGTCATTTTTTTAATTTTATTTTGGAATGTATCATGTTTTGATCTTACAATAATAGTTCCTTTTTTCCTTGGTTGTTCAATAGGTTTAGCTGTAGAAATAAATGTGAGATACTTTGAAACAAATCCAACTGTATATATTAAACTATTCATTTCAATATTAATAAGATAGTCTGTATGATAGCACTGTGGTAATTTAATAGTGGTTTGTATTAATTGAGAAATATTTTTAATACTCTCACTAAATGTTTTATTAAATTCATTATCTTCAAAGTTAATATTATTTAATGAACCCTTATGTACTTTAAAGAAGGATTCAAAAACAAATACCATAAATTGTAATTCATTCATAATGCTTTCATCTTCTTTTCCTTGGTTATTATTTTCAATAATTTCTTCTTCCATTTTTTTGTCATTACTTTCATTTAGTGTTGTTTCTATAACAACAGATGGTAATTTCTTTAATTGTTTATTTTGAAGTGACTCTTTTGTATTGATCATTGTTATAATTTTCATGACAATTTTGTTAACTAAATCAAATGGAGTTATCTTAAGCATTTTATTTAATCTATTGATGACTTGTGATCTTTTATCTTTGTGTTCTACAGATAATATTCTAAGGAATTCTTCTTGATGAATATCATCCATCATTCCCCACATTTCTTCATTCATTAATGAAGAAATTAATACCACATTTTCACCATTACTCATTTGAATAATTTCTTTAAAGGTATCAAATAATTGTTTATTTCCAACAAATGCCCCAACATATTTAGTTTGTACAATTGACTTTATTACTTCACTTAATACTTTTTGTTCAAATTGACTATCATACAATTCATCAGAGTCATTTAACATATTCATTGTTCCAATAATATTATCAATACTTCTCATTCCAAATGACATTAATACTTTCATTTTTTCTTGTGATGATAATAAATGGTCTTTATTAATTACATCAATAACATGATCAACAAATAACCCTCTATATTTTTCATTAATTTTATTCAAATAAACATTATTAAATGTTGTAATAAAATTACTTGATGAAGTTAATTCAATTTTTGATTGTTGTATAGCAGTAATATAATTCAAATAATATTCAGATTTTAATACTTTATTTCCTCCTATTATAATATTATTTTCTTTATATCCTTTTGCAAGTTTACCAATTTCATTTAAACAATCAAACCCATACGTTCTTTCTTTTGAACTTTCTTTCATTAATTCTTTAATCACAAAAATAAAATGTTGTTGAATAATAATTGATTTTTCCTTTTCTGATAAAGTAGATTTAATTGTATTTAAAAATGAAATGTAATGAGTAGTTCCAATTAATCCTTTAAGAGTTTCTTCTTTAGTTTTTTCACTTTTATTGTAAGAATTTAAAGCAATATTAAATGGTAATAATTTAAGATATTCAATATATTGGAAACAATCTCCTTGAACTAATTCAACAAATAAACTTGTAATACATGAATTATAATTACTTTGTTCTTTAAGAGAGTCAATGAGTATATTAGTTAACATTTCATTATATGAAATATTATTTTTATATCCAAGGTTTTTAAATTGGATTGTATCAAATAACAAAACTAATATTTCAATCATTAAAGTTTTAATTCTAATTGTAGGATTTTGTCTATATAATGATAATAATACAGATAATAAAAATTCACAACTCTTTTTATTACATTCTAATTCTTTTAATTTATTTACTTCCATATATTGACCAAAAATAATTATGATAGTATTGTATAACGAATTTAATTCGCTAAAAGTAATATCAGTTTTAGAAAGTGTTGATTCCAATTGACTTCCAATTGATTCATAAATATCTTTTAAAATAAATAAATCTTCTAGTTTTGAAAAGTATTTAAGATATAAATCAAGAATATATAATGTTTGTAAAACGTTATCTCTTTCAGGAATAAATATACCATATAATTCATTTAACCATTTTCTTGGAACTTCTAATTTTGATAAGTATTTTATCATTACTTCATTTACCTCTATTGGTAATAATTTACAAAACTTACATAAATGTTCACATACTATTTCTGCTGATACAACTGGAATTAATTTTTCATAATTATCTTCATTGAATAATTCAATATAAAATGAATGTTTAATTGGTGTATTAAATAATTGAACCAATACTGATTTTACTTCAGCAAATTGTTCACCTGATTTTTTTAGTGCAGTCATAATTTGGGCTATTGTTGCATTTGTAATTAGTCCTGTTTTCTTTACTGTAGCAATAGTTCCAATATAACTATACCCTTCAAACAATGGCATGTTCATTGAAGAATTTAATATTTCTTTTAACTGGTTGGCTAATTCAACATTAGAAACATCAGGTTGTTTAAAATATTCATTAATAGCAACAGAAAACTCTTGTGGATATTTACTATCTAAGTTATTAAGAAGATTAAAGTATTCATAATTAATTTTTCCTTTATTAACACTTTTACTTACATCAAAAATGTGTTTAACAATAATAATAAGATGTCTTTCATTTAATTGAATATTGTTAACAATAGGACCAAATAATTCTGTATATTTCTTTGATGAGATTGAATCTTTATTTAATGTTTGAAGACAAAGTAAAACAAAATCTCCTAAGTCACACTTCTTCTTAGATAAAGCTATTAAAGTAGAAACTACCATTTGAACTGAATTTAATAAAAATGTCTGAATTTGTTGTGGGAATATTTTCATTGAATATTGATATTTACATCCAATACATAAAACTGAAATAAATTGACTTGGATGTGAAGTTGCAGTATATTTATGAAGGACTAATAATAATGAAGAAAATTTCGATTCAGACAAAGTATGAACTGAAAGAATTTGGGCAGATAATGAAAGTGCAACAACTGTAAGCTTTGGTGAATCTGATTTAATTAATTGAAGAACAACTGAAAGTAATGTAGTTAAAACAACTTCAGATATAATTTGTTGTTGAGCAATACTAATTAATAAAGTACAAATAAAAGTACTATAACGAGCATTATGAATAAGAATAGGATGATCAATATAAAAATTAATTAAAGTAGAAAGTGTAGTTGGGAATTGAGTTAAATGAATAACAAAATCTCTTCTACTAATTCTATCTAAATTAATAAAATTAGTAAATATTGTTGGTTTAGATAAAGACAATAAACGAATAAATAATGGATTCTGATAATGAGATAAGAATGAAAGAATTAACTCATTAGCACCAACTGTATTAATAGAATAAACACGAATCATATATTCAATAATTGGTCCACATTCTGGATTTAAGAAGTGTTGACTTAAATAAGGTAAGAAGTTTGATATTTTTTTTGATAATTCTTTATTTTGACTATCCGTTAACATGTCTCTATTACACTGTTCTGATTCATCTCCAAATAATGATGCTTTCCATTCACTTAACAATTCGTGGTTTTTAAATAAATGATTTAGTGAGTCTAATGCACCTCTATGTAATGTATATCTATCAATAAATTTAGCTTTATTATTATCATAGATAAAAGATACAATATGAGAGGTATTAACAGTAGGAACAAAGGCATTTAGTTGTGACGCGATAGACATATTAGACAATAATTATTTCTTGTTTGAAAAAGAAAAAAGGGTTTTTTAAACCTTTTAATAAAAACCTAATTATAATTAAAAAAAAGAAATAAAAGAAAACTTGATTGAAATTACAAACTTCAAATGTATTTTAATTAATACTACAAAAGAGATATTTAAATAGAACAATCATATCTCATACTTCCATTCTATTTTTTATTGTTGTTGTTTAATAACTAATTATTAAAAATAGTGTTATACTTACTTACTAAAAAAGCAAATTGATGTATTTTTTTTATGTACAACCAAAATATAATCGAAAAACATAAAATGGTATTGAATAATAAAAAATTAAATAAAAACCTTCATTTCATATTTCAAATAAACTATATTGAATCGAAAGTAGCACTTCAGAAACACTACACACAAATATTAAAATGAATATAAACGTTTATTATAACTTCGATGTTATTGTCTGGTTATGATGATGTCTTTTTTGAGAATCCACTAACCAATATCTCAAAGTAATGAGGTGTTATGATGGTATTTATTTGTTGTGATACAAGTGTATTTATTATGATGAAACTCGAAACATGTATTGGGTTATTATCAAATTAAAATGATATAAATGATGATATTAATATTAAATGAAATAAGTTATAATAATATAGTGATAATGAAATATTCTTTCATCATAAAATAAGAAAATAAAAAAGATGAAGTTATTTAAAATTAAAGTAGAAGGAAAACAGGAAGTAACAAGAAGAGTTAAGCAGAAGGAATATTAAAAAGACTTCAACTCAAAAGAAATAAAACACAAGAAGAATGTCTTGCTCACAAGACAAGAAGAAAATCTAAATAAGAATTAAAACAATGAAATTACTCATTTTAATAATGTGTGATGTGACTAATATCCATTAATCAATGAATAAATGACA